ATGCGTCGGTTTACACTCAGGGTACATTACAGCATGTTTTCTATGTACAACGTTCTCAATATAATTCATAATCCCACGTTTATAATGAACAACGCGTGGTTATTGTGTTATTGTGTTACAAACGGTGTATGCGCAGAACAGAGAGGCGGGGTGAGCAAAGCTCATTATCATTTAAAGTCATATGCACTGAAACGGCGTGCTGAAAACAGAGCTGTTTTTGACCAGGTAAAATAAGTGTTTTCTTACAATACTAATGAGAATTTTTAAATAAAGTATATTACAAACTTTTAATTTAGACCCTAAAGAATCATATTAGCTTGTACAAAAATGGCATTATATGACCCCTTTAAAATAATGATTTACTCTACTGTTCAGAAGTCCAAAACAAATGGAACTACTGTATTACTGAACAATGATAAAGAATCAGAACATTTTCAAACAATATCCAGGGAATAGTCCTGAACAACGCAATGAATTCTGGGGTAGGCTAGGCCTTGAAGGATCCATCTGTTGTATCCTTCACTGCCTGAGAAACAAAGGATGCATTTGAAAGAGATTTGGAATTGGGACAGCCTAGACGCTATAGGCCTGCGACTGCGGCCTTCGAAGGATGCAGCCTCTGAATTGGGACGCAGCAATAGAGTGAATGTGCATTTTTATTCAGCGTGTCTCTTTCACTCGTTCTGATATGCTTCTCATACGCGTTGGGCTTGTTTACATCAGAGTGTGCGCGTGCCTCTGTGACGCAGCATACAGACAGCTTTAACAGGTGAATGAGTTTTCTTAAAATGCATCCTTAATTTAAATGATTTACTATAATAATAACAAATTATTTGTGGTATTTTGAAGTGCCCACAATAACAATATTGCGCATGTCCATTATCGTGATATACTGTTACCGTTTACATATTACGTCTATAACAAAGCAAGGCAAATAACAAACATCATATGTGTTCACTCACCGAGCCTTTTTCTATAACTCTGTTAAGCATAATAATTGCTTTGCAACGTTGTTCCCAAATCATTAGCCAAAAGTGACCACAAGTGTTCCTCAGGGGACCCTGCAGAAAGAGAAAAGTATCTAATTACATTACTGAATATGCTAACTATTTCAACAAGCTGGCCAATGCAAAAGAAATTGAAACAATCTATGAGACATCCTTCTTTGTTCTACAAAAGGCTGGAAAAGCTGTTAACTCTTTCCCGGCCAGCGTTTTTTTGAAAAAAGTTGCCAGCCACCGCCAGCATTTTTTATCATTTTCAGTTTTTCACAAAAGTTTAATGGCCCCCAGAATATTTAGTTGTCTGAATATCTGATAATTTAATATATCAAAAGAAAGAACAGAGCCTCTGCTTTAAAAAAAAAAAAAAGCATTCGTTTTTTATCAACACTTATGGCATATGGGTACGTTTCATAAAAAGCAACATTTTGAGCAAAAACCTAAGAAAAACAAGTTTTTGTCAAAGACTACATCCAGACCGGATTCAGAACGATGATCAAAACGTAGTCAAGTCCAACGCCCCCTAATGCTTGCACAGTCCTATAGCTTGTTCTGGGTCGACATTTCATTCGGTAAAGTTAGGCAGTTTTGAATTTATATGCCGTTTAATGTTGATGTTATTTTACATATGCTATCGCTTGTTTCTGCATCTTCTTCGCATGTGTTTTGATCAGGAGATTCAGTACTCTTTCAGAAGATGCGTAATAGTGCCCCTACCGTAAAACAGTGAAAACACCCGGAAAGCCTAAAAATTGTGTCAATGGCGGGGAAAGAGTTAAGGTAGGTTTCATGATGCTAAACTTTAGAAATTCTATAAAAACAGGGGGAATGAGTAAATTAAACTTGTTCGTTTAAAACAACCGCATGTGTATTTAGGTCACATAACACATCAATGCAAGTTAGCAAAATGCAAACATTGGACTTACTTTTTCCATTACTGTCATACCTGTGTCAATATGTACCTTCTCTGGGCCTCCTCCACGGTAATTAAGCTTGCATTTATGTAGTCATTCTCTGAATTTTCTAATCTCACCCGACTGTGATCATCTTAACACAAAAATGCAGGTTATTAAGCCAGAGTCAAAACAAACATGTTAGCATACATTTGTGAGAAATTCAACGTAAGCTTACAGAAAAAAACATTTATTTTAAGGAGATTATCCCAAAAATGATAATTCTGATTTACTCGTCATTTACTCGCTCTAATGTAATTCAAGTCTATATGGCAAGTCTTTTCTCAATGGAACCACACAAGGTCACAATTTATTTTCACTGCATTTTTCTTTCATACTTAAATGAAAGTGAATTATTCTGATTTACATCCCCTTTTGTAGTTCACATACAGAAAAGTCATAGAGATTTGGAACAACATGATGCTGAGTAAGTTCCCCTCCCCCTCCCCCCTGAACTATCAAGGCAAGGTTACAAAATGAGTGAAACATTGTTAAAATGGTTTACATGGAAGAAACTTACAGGGACTGACGTCTCTATATCTATTCCTATTGCGATTTTCTGGGAACTTTGCCACTTTGCAGGCGCACTCCTGAGACTGGTTACGGATTTCCTAGAAAGAGATTACAAAATAACAAACATCATTGTGAGAACCCTAAGTTCCATCCCTTAAAAAAAATCACTTAATAAATATTCTATTCTAACAAATGGCAAAAAGAGGGGGGAGTGTTTTTAAAATTGAAATAAAGAACATAAAAAGATAATAATATATCCATCAAATAAGGCGGGTTGGGCATGCCTATCTGGTTGAGTTTTATAGAGAACTGACAGCTTCGGTTCTTCAGTTCTTGGGAAGTGCTCGTCAGTTCTCAGAAACCATATCAGTGCATGGTTGCGTCTCAAAACCTCGCGAGCTCCCTAACCTGACAGCATATTTAGGCATCATACACGCACGCGGGGGGGTCTTGAAGGCGGCAAAAATGACATGGCATTTAGGGTGCTAGGACTGGGAACTCCTGTGGTACCTAAAAAATACAGCACGGGTCAGTGGTCTGAAAATGCTTTCTAGGTAAACAGCTCGCTAGGTGTTGAGACACATCCCACGTGTTCGCAGGAAGCACCTAGTGAGCTGCTCTAATGTACCGCACTGTGACACGAGCACTCATGCACTTCACATTGCTGCCAGTCAAGTTGTTTTGACATGGTAATTCGCTGTGTGGTTTAATACAATAATACGCTGCATACTCATTTTGCTTACTGACAAGAATGCAAAATATATAAACCAATTTAACTCAATATTCTTGTAAAACCATAAACACTCGTGTACAGGTTTACCGAGCTGAAATGATTCACAGAAGAAGATTATTTCAGATTTAGCAGCAGGCAGTAAGTCAATGTGGACCGTATTTCTCGGTATTACGCGCATGCGCAGTAACGCAAAGCTGAATTACCCATTCGTTCTCACGGGCCGAATACGAATACTTGTCTAGGACTATTAGATAAACATTGCAAATCTACCAGGGCGAAATAGTGCAGGTGTCCCAAGCGTTCATCTAAGGAGCGACTCATATTTAACTTAAAAAATAAAACAGTATGACTTACATTATAAAGGTTTTGCCACTGTCCAGTTGAATCGATGTTCTCAAACTCCTGATCCATTTTTTTCAGGGTAATTCAAACGGAAAATGGTTCAATCAAATGTCGTCTGAGATCAAACGAGGGGTCACTATTCCATTGTTAGAAATTGTCATGATCCCGAAAACGGCAAGAGGAACGGTGCAGTACGATGTTAACCCTCATCAAAGAGGATAAAATTACTAGCACTTTCAGCACCCCCATCGGCTACTTCCGTGTGCCAGTCGGGAGGAAAGCGAGAAACGGCGCCCTCTGTCCGCAAGAGTCGACATGGCTACCTTGATTACTTCCAGGTAGTGGAGATTCATTCCAATAACTCGAATCTTTTGAATCACCTCACTTATAAGATTCATTCACTCGCTCTTCTTCAGGACCGACAGGTGACACGTCGCGATGGGGTCGTGCTGAATTCGGAACCGCGTAGGATACTACTCTGCCATAGAAAGATATAATAAAAGTATAAAGTCGTTGGTAGATTGTGGTTCCGAATAGGCTACAGCATGTCTACTCAAGCAAATGTCACGAAATTTATTTTGTGTGCAAATCACGTTTCTCCTCAAATGCCTTAGCAGCTCATTTTTTTCCACCACCCATCACTTGAGTGTGGTTTATCAAGCTACAGAAAAGGGACAATATTAACAGACTAAATAAATAGTTTCAGTAATATACTTCGTGTTTTCAATTAAAATTTCAATTAAATTGAAATTTCACTCCGAGCCTCGTTCAACTCAAAACCTATAACTTTAGAGCAGCTGAATTCGGAATAATCTTACTATTTATGCCATATTTATCTCTATAAGGCAAAAACTATGGTGTATATCCTATTCTGAATTCAGCGAGTCAGTGGAAGTGACCGACAATTTATTAAATTTAAAGATTCGTTCACAAATGATACTTCCAGGAAAAATCGATGAAAAGAGGCCATATAGCGTCATTTTAATTTATAGTGGTCATCTATTTTGTTGTCTTTTGGTCCCTTAAGGGACATTTAGGCTTATTAACATTAAATATTGAGAAATGTAACAGTTTATCAAAACGTTTTTCTGGATTTACAATTAAGAAAGGATTTAAGGTGGCCACATTAGCGAAATTTCGGTTACAAAAAAACCCTTACGAAACCATGTTTTTATAGTTAATGTGTAGCTAACCATTTTGGCGGATTGATACCAACCGCGGTTCTACTAAATAGGCCTACCATGGTATTGGTTAGTGTTATAAGGTTAATTTTCGTAAAGGCAGGCCTATGTCCATTGGTGTAGATGTATGATGCACAACTCGTTTCACGTTTAAACCTTAATGTGATTAATAAGGAGGACGTGGACGTGGTTAATGTTCACGTGCTCCACGAGACCAGCTGCTTCTCATAAATGGCTAATAAGATAATGCTTTTATCCCCCTCACACCTCATCGTGCATTGTACAACACAATCCCCAGTCATAGGCGATTGGATAGTCTGGCTGTCTGTTTGGTAGTGCTTGTTTGTAAAGACCATATCCATCTCAAATGGCTGCATTCACCTTTATGGGTTCATCTACTTCTAAAACTCACTTGAACATGAGAGGAAATATTTTAACAGCCTCTGTGATTTTGATGTCTTTGTTTTTTTTGGGTAAGTCTATTTCCATTCTAGTCTATAGCCGCGTTTCCATTACCCTTCAAATTGCGCAAATTGAAATTGCGAATTGAAATTACGCTCAATGGAAACACGTCAATTTCGCAAAAACTCCCATTTATCGCAAAAAAGTTTTTACGCTCGCATGAGGTTTTTCAGGCAATTCGAAAAAGGAATATTTCGCAAAACTGCAATGGAAACAGTTTTTGCGCATTTACAGTCACCTGACTTAGAATACGCGGTGTGTTTGGGGTCCGTGGTATACGCAAATAATAATAGGCTAATAATTATCATCCTTATTATAACATTTATTAGGCTACATATTTAGAAGATGCTTTTATCCAAAAAAAAGGAACAAAGCAATTAGTCAAATGTCATTCATAATGGTTAGACAATAATAATACAGGGCTAAGATTATCACAAATAAACACAAGATTTTGACGCATATCCAAGTGTTTGTGCAGAGTGTGGAGCGCGCTGCAGGCAGGGAGACGCGGGCGCGAACACTTGCGTTTTCCTATCAACAGTGGAAACAACTTAAAATACTCTATAATTTCTGGTCATACAGAAAATAATAATACATTATTCGCGCAACTATGCTTTTATTTGTGTAAACTCACAATAACAAGAAAACGTTGTGCTTTTGTAAAATAAAAGAAAACAATCATGCGCGCTTTCATGATCTCCGTGAACTGTAGCGCGAGAACTGAAACAAAGTATAGCCTATGTAGGCTAAAGCTTGAAATTTCCACTTTAAAACGAACAAATTCGAATCGAAAGCTAATACCTTCTGATTATGTAATCCGTATGAAAGGTGCATTTCTCTCTAAAGGTGCATTCGCGCGGCGCGCCTCAGCGGAGATGGAGATATGTTTTTAGCCGACACTAATTTAGAAAACAATAGTTTATTAATACAATTAAAATGCCTCGTTATTCTTTCAGACACATTTATTGTCATTAGCCTATGACTCACCTAAAGACACCTTTCTGTAGGCTGTGGTTCCAGAGACATAGGCCTAAATATGGCTCTTCTCATTCAGCACTGCGGGAAAAATATAATTTTCAGGTTCTAATTTGGCCTTAGAAAACCATTAAAATCTACTTCTTCTTTTTTTTGTATTAAGTTGTGAATATTTTAAATGTTTAATAAAGGGGCAAAAAGTCATAAACAAACATCTTAAATTTAGTCTTTTTTTTTTTTTGCGCAGCATTTGTGTACAGTTCAAATTTAAAAAAAATTGGTGTTCAACTTTGCATTTTAAAAAAACAACCACCGTTCATTTTACGTTTTGCAATACGGGTTAAATAAGGAAAAACGAATGGACACAAGTACACTGACCGTTTGGACATAATACGAGAGAGTTCTTTATTAAATTCATAAAAGAAACAATAGGCTACAGGAATACTGGATTCTAAACCTCAAAGAAATGCCACAATCAGACCTCGGAGCAGAAATGAGGGAGAAACACCCAGAAACTCCTTATGCCGTTCGCAGTATACGGGTCTTTCCCTGCCATTAATGCTTGGATAACACACCACGTCTCCTTCTATTAATAATAATGTCTATTGTGGTGGTGGCTGTGATTTAGGGATATAGGCTATAAACCTACCCGTTGATGTTTAAATGACTTATCGCGAGAGGGGGAAAAAGGACGTTGTAGTCGCATAACATCAGTAAATGGAAACGCCGTCATTTCGCAATAGTTTTTTATCGACATTTAGAAAAAATCGCAAAAGTTTTGCGCAAATCTGTAATGGAAACGCGCTATATGATATTTAACATGCTTTTGTTCAAATCAAAGATGAATGGATTGAAACGCTTATTTCCATATAGCATTTTAAAAATCATACCAGTGTGATATTAGTTCTTGAGTAGGCTATGTATAATATGAGTGTATTGGATAGCATTTTGAAAATATTAATGTAATTGAATACCACATGTGCAAACTACAAACCGATTTGTGCCATTATAACTAAGGAACTCCCAGTAAAAAGTTGCTGCATAAACATCCAAGTTGACTGCACTTAAGTTAAAGTAATTTCAACTTAAATTAGCTACCTTAAACTGACTTAGAGTTGTATAACTTATACAAATGTTTAAATTGATTAACTTCTTTTTAGTGAAGTTATGTAAAAACATGTCTTGTTTTTTTTTTTAAACCGTGTAATACACCATTAAAAGTAGTCTTTTTGTTTGCAGGACAAACACTTGAGTGCTTTCGGTGTGATCTTGGATTCTGGGATCTGTGTTACACTACAAAGACAAACTGCAGTGAGAATGAGTTGTGTTATGTGGGAACTGGTAAAGCAGGTAAATGATGCCAATGTTCAGTTTTTGCAGTATCCTATTGACAAACCAGTCTCCCTTTGTTACTCTGCCTAACTTTGCCTTCTTTTTTTTCAGCTTCTGTCCTGGATATAAAGGTGATGGGTTGTCTTCCCATGGAGGCATGCAACATGACAACATATGTAGAGTTTCTTACCAACAAGACCTTGTACACCATGAAGACCACGTGTTGTGAGGAAGACTTCTGCAACTCTGCCCCCGCAGTTCAGTTGTCCATCGCTCCTCTCTTGCTCACCATCCTTCTCCTTGCCCAGATGATGGGTGTGTTTTGATGTGTTTTTTTTTTTTTTTCAACTTCACAATTATAATTGTAATAAGGGATCGAATGCTTTTTCATGTGTACACTTGTTCACGTAGGCTCCTATTACTGTTCATTTTACTGTGTTGAATCATCTAAAACAGCCTGCCTTCATGCCAGAGCACGTTTGGATAGTCTTTCCTAACCAGTTGTTTGTGTTCATCCAAAAAGAGGAAAGATTACAGAATATATTTATAAATGCATGTTTTCTTATCACAATTTTTGCGGTTTTACCTTTTAAATAAATGCAAAAGTCAAACATTCATGGTTTCCTGTCTTGTTGTACGCTCATGACCACGTCCAATAGAGGGCGCTATTTGACTAAAACGTTAGATTGTCTTACTGCGCATGCTCATATTAGAACTGATCTTCACATCATCCTCTTAAATACTTAACTGATCTTATTGTATAAAGATCTTAGAACGGATGCTTCCCATGTCAAACGTGATTGGACCGGTTGCAACCTTGCGTTTAAATAGTGGGCAAGTGTGTTTACTTCCCGCGTGCCAGGAAGAATCGAGCAGATAGAAGTATGTTTGTTGCGCGCAGCATCGCAGCCGATCACAAAGATCTGATCCACGATGTTTCATATGATTTTCACGGCCGGAGAATGGCGACATGTTCCAGCGACCAAAGCATTAAGGTAAATTATTTCTCACACAACCATGGCCTGCTGAAGTTGGTTTACATTGTATGCTCGTTAACCACATCTGTTACAATGTAAATAAGACTTGAATCTGACCAGAAAGTGGTCGTTTATTTACTCTTTTTTTTAATTTTTTTATTTTTTACTTTTCTCCTAGGTGTGGGATAAGGGGGATAGTGGAGAATGGAACTGCACAGCCAGCTGGAAAGTAGGTCTTTCTCAACCAAGGGTCCAGGGCCCACTAGGGGGCCAGAGGATGAAGTATTTAAATTAGTAAATGAAAATACATTAAAATGCAAACTGATTGGAATCATCCCTTACACTTCCCCTTTTAAAGAGGGCCGCCCTATTGTGCCTTTTTCAAATTCTTGGTTTGTTTTTGGGGTCTACTAGAATAGGTTTTCATGCTTGAATGTTAAAAAATGCAATCTTTTTTAACATATTTTACATTGTTGCTGCTCTCTTCCCAGCCTGTTTTTAACACTGTTTAGTTCCTGTCTCTGTGAAATTTCTCCAAAGCCACTTGAAGGCTAGCCACTAGCCAGACTTTCATACTGACGGCAGAAGGTCTGGACTCCATTGAAGCTTTCATTAGCCACGTATGACATGTAACGTTAAAGCAACCAGTCAGAGTTTAAGTTTCGTGTCATGTTTAGTAGTGTGAAAATGTAACGATGTCCCTACAACAACAGATTGGTGTGTAAATCTCTTGGGCGTATTATAAAGAGTCTATGTTGCAAACTTTTACATACTTCACATACTTTTGAAAATCCATCGTGTAGTTGATCCTGATAAGCGCTCATTGTCACAGTTGTAAACACGACACCGTTCTTCTTCCATGAGGGGGTTTGGCGTCACGACATCTTTGTTTCCAGGTGGACTGTTAAAGAACGTGACATGCGTTAAGGAAAACAAGCAGCTTTGGCAATAAGTACAACTGAAATGTATAAAATGGTGGTGTCCTAGAAATATGGTGGGGCCTTTGGGTCAAACAGGTTGAGAACCACTGCTATAAGATCATCCCAAATTGTTATTAAACCCTTTTCAGCATCATGAATATTTGTATACTTTTAGTATTGGTTGTTATTGGGGTGCATTGGGTTTTGGGCTGTAATTTGACAAACTGTTGTTTTGTAGACTCACAGTGGCTCAGTTTGGCGAGTGACCTGGGCCCATCCAGAGTTTGGACAGGTGTTGGCATCCTGCTCCTTTGACCGTACTGCCATAGTGTGGGAGGAGATTGTTGGAGAGTCCAATGACAAACAACGAGGGCAAAGCCACTGGGTAAATAAGATTCGAATGGGCATTTGCCTTAAATCAGTTGATTCTGACGGGTTTTTTTTTAATGAATATGTTGGAATAGAGGGTATGCATTGGCGTCACTTTCCTGTCGGAACACGCCCCCCTCAGCTGGACTGAGTGGCAAAAGAGCTGCTGCATGACTGGAGTTAATAGGGGAAACTGCGAAAACACAAGTAAAACAAAAAATAATCAGTTTAAACTAAAGGTTGGACTCGATATAGTGTTCCTTACAACTTACCAAAGATCCAGTGATCATGGATATTGACATGCAGCCAGGAATCATGTTTCCTGACATTTATGTGTGCCTGATTTCCACGCCGGGGAAATACATAAAGCAAATTTTCCTTTAAATACAAAATAGGTAGGTCTAAATCCATGTGATCACTTAAATCAATGTTATATATCGTCATATCGTCCATCCTTATAACTTGTATAGTTTTTTGTCAGTGTTTATTTAAAAACGTCCAATTATGCAGAATATACAATGGTAATTATTTAATTGACGAGTTGTCAATACAGTATATAACAATACAATATATAGGGTATGGTTTTACCCCTAAATTCAGCATATTGACACAGAATGATAACTGCAAATCCATATTTTGCTGCCTGGAGTCCAGTTGTTTCTATGTATTGTAGCGATCCATTTGCTTCTCTGTTCTGTAGCTTTCGGCAGTCTGTAAAAATATACCTCAGATTTCTTGTCAAATCTAGTTGTACAGTCAATCGCAAAGCTCTTTCCAGTTTTAGATGTGTTTTTCGCGCCATTCAGGCTGAAAACAAATGCTGCCATTCAGTCTTTTTGCCACTTAGTGGGCGTAACCGCAGTCCCTCCGGCCGATGTCACGCGCATACCCTCTATTGATTGGGGTTAACGCATAGTTGCAGTAGGAGGCTGTTACTTCTTCAATAAGAGTTGCAACAATTTGAATTGCATACTACCATACTCTTCTGTGTCTAGTGCAGTAAATGAATTGGAAGTAATATCTGCCATAGTGCCATTATTTATATACATTTCTTTTTTTTTTGTCATCTCCATCATTTTTTTGACTCCATTTGATTGGACTTTCAGGAGTTAAGACGCATACTAATGCACTACTGCGTGCTTATATTTGGCAGTATACTGCTAAATATAAGCACCGCTTTTTAAATGTGCGAGGCTTCCCGTGTCAGTTATTTTAGCTGTGCAAAAACAGTCTGTTGGGCAGTTTGATATTGCAATGTGGTAATTATCATATTATTTTAATTTGTCATAACCTTAAACAGGTTTGTAGTGCAAATAGGTTTACTGCATTTTGCTCTAGTTATTTTTAACTATTGTGGCTAATGAATGAGAAGTCTTGTACATTCACATGTAGTTGTTTAGTTCCATGTTGCATTAATAACATGGCACAGAATCAGTTATTCTATTCCGAACATAGCTTGTTTATAACTTTTGGACTCTGAAAATGTCAGCATCAATGTCTCCTCTGTTCTCACATCAGATCAAGAGAACCACACTTGTGGACAGTCGGACATCTGTGACCGATGTGAAGTTTGCCCCGAAGCACATGGGCTTGATGCTGACCACATGTTCTGCTGACGGGGTGGTGCGAATCTACGAGGCCCCTGACGTGATGAACCTGAGCCAGTGGTCCCTGCAACACGAGATCTCGTCCAAACTCTCCTGCTCCTGCATCTCGTGGAACCCTTCCAGGTGAGAGCGCACTGATGATAGATCAACATAACTACAACATAGTCACAGTCGTGCGTGTCACACAGTCAGGAGATTCACAGAGTTCTCATTAGTTTCTTATCACGTTTAAATGGTTTTAAAGCATTTGTATGAATAAGAGCGTGATCATATAATGTAACGCTAGCCAAAGGATCATGGGAAAAAATAGATGTTACGTATTTTTAACATGTTGAACTGAAAAAAATTATTGCGTCCGTTATCGCGTTAATTTTGTAAGCCCTATTATTATTACTTTGAGGTACAATAGAAATGTATTTCTGCCTCAATTTTAAGTTAAACTGAACTTTCATTTTGCCGAGTTGTTTTGAAGACCTTGTATTTGATATGACGATTGCTCAACTGAACTGCTTGTGAAGTGACAGAGCAGCTCTGCAGGTGAAGTTCATGTCCTCATATAGTGAGACGGATGACACTATAAACACTGCAAGCGTCCCACATGCTTGAGTACCGTGTAGAAGACGAACCAGCGGCATTCATGAACACAGACTTCATATTTCAATAGCAGTCTAATATTCTCAGACAGTAGTCCATATCACTATTAAATTAAGTGTACAGCCTACTTTTGACTTATCACCCCAAATTATGTGACATTCTGTGATAAATTCCATTTTTATGACCGGATTTTTCAATGTTTTCTGCATCATCAAAATCATAGGGCCCTACTTATAGATGTGCACATTTTGTAACTTAATGTATACTGAATCTAAAAGTCATTGAATTAGACTTTCACAAAAGGGTGAAACCTCTGTCTTCTCATTAGATCTTGACTGCAAATATCACAGATGTTCTACATGCTTGTCAACAGTAACATCAAACTTAGTAGATGTTTGACTACATTTCCAACAATATTATTTTGTTTTTTTAAGACCTCTCAGGCCACTGAGACTATATTGTCCTAGCAAACTGAATCAATAAATGCAAATGCTTGAATACTTAAAGGTTAAAGGAAAATTGTTGTCATTTACTCACCCTCAAGTTGTTCCAAACCTGTATGAATTTCTTTCTTCTGCTGAACACAAAAGAAGATATTTTGAAGAATGTCAGTAACCAAACAGTTGATGGGCCCCATTGACATCCATGGTGTTTTTTTTTTTTTTTTTGTGGCAAAGTGTTCATTTGGGGTAAACTAACCATTTAAGAAAAAAAATTTTCTTTTGTCTTTACAGTTCTCGAGCTCACGCCCCCATGATTGCAGTGGGGAGTGATGACAGCAATGCGACATACGGCGGCAAGGTTCAGATATACGAGTATAATGAAGTTACAAGGTTTGCCTTCAAATCATTTTGTATCATAGTTCACACTTATCCAGCAAAAACTCACATCCCCACAGGTTAAATATTTTAAGTTTTTATTTATCTTTTTTGATGGTTGTAGGAAATATGCCAAAGCGGAGACACTGATGACAGTTACAGATGCGGTACATGATATTGCATTTGCTCCAAATCTGGGCCGGTCTTTCCACGTGCTTGCTATTGCCACCAAAGACGTTCGCATCTTCAAACTGGTTCCACTTCGGTGAGAGAAATGAAGCCGAATGAGTATTACAGTAGAATGGGAAATATATTTTGTTTAATGATGACATGAATTTTTCTTTATTATTCTAAAACCGCCTTTCCACCATCTCCAATATTAACATAATATTGTTTTTTCACATTTCACCCCCAGTGGTCTTAAAGCAACTGTTACCCTCAGCTTTTTCACCATTGTAAAATCAATGATTTCAATGAATATATTGAATGTATCCACACTAAACAAATGGCTTCCCGATATGTCTGAAGGAGAAGCCGTAGGTTTTCTTGGGATTGTTCAGGGTTTGTTGTTGCTGTGATCACAGAAAACACGTCATCAGAGAAGAGATGCCGCTGCAAGAGGAGGGGAAGTTATTTTGATTAAAGATTACTGGGGTTACTCACAATTTTAAGAAGTGCACGGATAAATAATTTATAATGAATACTGTGATATTCCATAAAAATAAGATTTGTCCATTTTGATGTCACAGTGACTTAACCTTTCAGAAATGTTGATAATGTTTTAGTGGAAAAATACTGGTAATGCTGACCTCACATTCATAGTTTTGATTAGAATACATCATATTGGATGGTTGCATACGATCTAACACCAGAAGTTCATAATATGAATGCATCTGAGGCTTGAGTCGAATCAGAAATGTACGCATATGGTCAAAAAAACCCACGTAGCTCCTGGACTATTCATTGAAAATGATTGAATTTCGGTCGGTCGTTTGTTGGAGTTCGTGGAAAGGCGACTTTAAACATCAGGACTGCAATGCTAAAATAAATAAAAAGATGTGTAGTTTAAAAAAAGTTCTCTTTCAGAATTGAAAACAAAAAAAACTCCATTCAGAGTAGTTTTGTTTCAAAATATTTTAATTGTATGCCAATAGACCTTATTCAGAGCAGAGCCATGACAGGTATAAAAGCAAGGCTGTGAGGGATAGACTTGCCTATTTTCAATGGCATCTGCTGTAAAAACCACCTAGATCACTTATAATTTTCCACAGCTCATGTTCGTCAGCTGAACAGTCCAAAAACACATTGAATAACAGTACAACCCACTGAAGAGATGTCTATCCCTCACTGCCTCGCTTTCGTTCCTGTTAAAAATCAAAGCTGGCGCTGCTGTGAATAAGGTCTATAGATTTACCACAATTTGCATGCCTCTTTGACTAACAGAAAGGACAGCTCTTCATCAGCGCCCACTAAATTCGAGGTGCAGGTGCTGGCCCAGTTTGACAGTCATAACTCTCAGGTGTGGCGCGTCAGTTGGAACATCACCAGTACAATTCTGGCCTCCTCTGGTGATGATGGCTGTGTGAGACTCTGGAAAGGTGAGTGTTTGCAAGAATTTGTAATCGCAATGATCATATATGCAACTACTAGAATATTAACGTCAGCATTTAAAGGGCAGGGCTTGATTTTGTCCATCAGGAATTGATTGGATGGTTGTGGTTCGCAATTTCTGTGATCTCATGTGAGGCCCTGTTTACAACTGGTATTAAGATGCATTTTGGTCGATCGGATCACAAGTAGAAGAGTGAGACACATTCCCGTTTACACGTGGGGTGTTTTAATCCGTCTCTTTTGTCGGATTATGTTTTAGACCCCGTTTACACCTGTATTTAGCGTGGTCTACTTGTGATCCGATCAATCAAAACGAATCTTAATACCAGATGTAAACAGGGCCTAAGTGACATGTTGTCTCCCCCTCGTGCCAGTAAACGCGTCATCAGAGAAGAGATGTTGCTGCAAGAGGGAGAAGTTAATTTGTTTAAAGCTTTCTGGGGCACATTAATTAAAAAATAAATAAATAAAAGATGTGCACAGATAAATAATTTATAATTACTGCAATTAAGAATTTTCCGTTTTGATTTCATGGTTAATGTTTTAATTTGTTGTAATTTGCCTTTTTCTTTTTCACATTTCACCAGCAAACTACATGGCCAATTGGAAATGCACAGGTATTCTAAAGGGAGATGGCAGTCCAGTATATGGGTCATCTGGTCAGCCTGGGGCTCTGAGTGCCGTCCTGGGCTCTGCTTCTGCACAGAGTGCTTTAAACGGGGCCACTGGACGATAGATCCCTTTCTACAGGACCACCCTGAGGAAATCTGGGGCTGAGCACTTCTATGATTCGGGAGTTCACACTGAGACCAACTGATTGTGCTTGCTGGACATGTGACAAGACTGGCACTTAACATGGGTCCATTATTTTGAGCTGCCTTTAAGGAAGGATCTCTAAGTTTACGTTTCTTTCTATCTGTAGTATTATGGTTTACTCTGATCTGAATGAATTCTGTGAAAAAATCATGGCTTTCAGAATTATGTTGTATTGTCATCTTTGAATGGATGCGAATGCCTTGACCACAAAAGGGACTGTCTTTAGTACTCTACATTTTATTTCTATTCTATTTTGTCACATCGTCGACGTGATTAAGGAAAAAAATGCTGGCATTATAACACTGCCAAAATGTTGTCTTCACTCTTTTGTGTTATTGAATGAGAATAATAAAGGTCATAGATGCTGGTATATATGAAGCATGCATAAATCTTTGAGTTTATTTCATTAGAATCCTGCATGTCTACAAATATCTATGCAGATAGTTGTCATAATCTGTATTGGACAGTTGATTTAGTATTTTCTGTTTCATGGCCAAACGTTTCTGTAAAGAAAGATGCATGCATAAATATAAAAATAAAAAAGTGAGAATAAAAATACATTTAAAAATAAATATAGAAAAGAATAAATTAAGGAAAAAAAGGATTACATTCAATAAAAGAAAATATTTGTTTGGAGGTCATTTGTTCCTTTATTTTCTTAAAATCACATTTATGTATTTATATGTATTTAAATTAAAAGGGCAAGTTGTATTAAATACCTTTAAAAAAATATATAGATTACACAGAAATTAAAATAAATGATTAGGGCTTAAAATACTAAAACAATTTAGTGTCAAAGTCTAATAATATGGATCATGTAATTACTGACATTAAATTATTTATATTTTAAGTGATCAAAATAAATATTTTCTACAACTAGATATAATGTACTGCATTCAGGAATTTTATTTATGGCCTTATTTGACAGTATTTATTTCCAGTCTTAATTTTATCAGGCTATTTAAATATGCCGTTTGGTGATTACAATGACCGTGTTTAGTAAGCAACTGTCATAGGGTCCCACACAGCTGCTGTCTCAGCTGTTCTGTGGTTCTGCTCTAGAGATTCATTTCACCATCTCGTTCATGTTAGTATATAAGGAACGTCATTTTTAATTACGAAATATTTTTTCATTTAAAAAAATCTGGTTTTTAATTGTTTGATTGTAAGATCTATACAACCAATTGAAGTTCTCATGCATTCAGAAATGATCTGCTGTACTATCATTACTACGCGTAAAGTATACATTTAACAGCACTATTTAGAACACATTTATGTATTAAAAATGTTTGAAACAAACAGCTTCTTCATTCAAAACACCAACAAGTTGATTGACAGATGATTATGCCACTCGTTGAATTCAGTAAGACAGGATTCTCCAATGAAAATCGCCGTTATGTCGAAGCCCCGCCCATGCAAAGAGAAACTAGAGGCGGGCAGTGTTGCCAACTTAGCGCCTTTGTCGCTATTTTTAGCGACTTTTCAGACCCCTTTAGCGACATTTTTTCAAAAAAGCGACTAGCGACAATTTTAGCGACTTTTTGGACAAACCTCAGTAACCTCCAAATGTTGCCAGTACTGTCCTGCGAGCGCGAGGTCTTGCTTTCTCCCTGTCGTCACTCTCTCTAGCTGCGTCTCCTCTGTTCAGTGAAAGGCTGAGAGGAGCGCACGGCCGCTGACAGACGCGAATGAGCAGTGTTTTTCCACGGACTTATCACTTATCTGCTTTTGTTTTGTTTTATATTTAAAGAATTTAGTTTGACCATTTTAATTTTATTTATTTTCTTGTGCTTATTATTACTTGTAACACTATCACAGTTCATCCGGTTCCCTAACTCTCTCAATTCAGATAATGTTCCACATAGGCCTGTAAAAAATGTAATCATTCACTATATTATAGCTACTCGTTCAATTGTCTGACATTAAAAAAATAGGAAATGAGAACAGCTTTATTTGACATTCGGCTATATTATATTGAATAGAGCATTAATTTAGAGAGAAACGCACTAGGCTGACAGAACGCAAGTACAACGCGATGACGTCGTTAATATGCTAATTGACGTATGACGTCATCTAGCGACATTTAGCGACTTTTAGGGAAGGCCTTAGCTACTTTCCTTTGAAAATAGTTGGCAACACTGGAGGCGGGATTCTCTCTCTCGTAATGGCTTCACTACATCGTTATACTTCGACAAACTCTTCTCAGAAAGCGGGGAGGTCGCTATAAAGGCAACGTTTCTTCTTGTTATGCGGATTATTGGTGCTATATTTGTATAAAGTAGTCGAATTGACTTCCTTTATAAGGCACAAGTGCCGCTTTTCTCCTCATGGTAAGTTCTCATCGAAACAGATTCTTCTCAGCTGTTGCAAATCTTTTCCAGTGTTGTTGTCACGGTACAGGTTTCCGCCAACGACTGGTCGAAGAAAGTAAGCTTGAGCCCGAAAAAACGTCGTTTCTGTTTAAATTACATTTTAAGTGTCACTTTTTTGCCTTTGTTTAACTGTTTAAGTCACACGGTTGAAGTGTTTGTATCATGGCCTTTGCAGTTAGTCTCAACTGCACGGTGTTTATTTGATTTAAGTTAAACAGCCCTTTTATCCTTATTTATGTAGTTTTTACTTTTAGTCAGTCCACCCACAAATACTGTTGTTCCGCCTTTAATAACTTACAATAGCGTTTGATGTGCAGTTAAAGTTGTTGGTTATTGAACTGATAAAGGTAACGTTAGTCTGATGACTAACAAACGTCACATGAATGAAGCCAATTCTGGATGGAAAGAGACAGTCAATTTTACGATGTTGCTAAATTATTAATTTATTAATTTAGTTTAATCTGTGCTTTGGCATTTTCCAGTAACGACACATGGCTAACGTTAAATGCAACATAAGCTAGCTGCCATATCAACAGATGTCAGCTCTATCCGTGTAACAATATGAGTTACAAAACACCCTATTATGTGTGACACTGTGTAAGAGACATAACATCCTCCAGGCTTGTCTTTACTTGGCAGCCTACATGTCCAGTAAACAAACAGGCACAGTATGACAATAATGTCATTTAGCACTGGTTCCCTATGGGAACTCACGAGTTCACTCTGCATGTCTGAAATATGCACTTCATTTTTTGCAGTCACTCCTCATGTGCTGAAGCCCTGTGCCAATGAGTCACACAGACATGGAGAACTTCCAAAACATTGAGGATGAGCCGTTTCCCAGCTTCCTTTCTAACGCCTCGCTGGGCAGTAGTGGCCGCTCCACTCTCGGCAACCTGACACTGGGCTCCACACTCGGGATGCCCATGGCAGCCTCTACCGTGGCTAAAATTAGACCTCCAGTAGACAACAGGTGGGAAACTTCTGCATTTAATCTCACGAATATTGTGACTGTATCTGTCCTAACTTGGTGAGAATATTGACTTCCTTAGTTTCCTGTTTGGTTAACAGTGTTAAATAGGGGTCCATCTCATGTTGTCCAATAATTGTAAACTTGGATTTTTTTTTTTTGAGTGATTACCTGCATTCATTGGTATTCTAAAACCACCAGACTGGCCATCTTTGTGTAATGGCTTCCATCAAACAAACTAAAATCAAAATTGCGATATGGCTTTGTGCGCTTATCAAATCTTTAGAGGCTACGATTTAAAGTCGGCATGAAACGGAAGTTGCAATAGTTTTTTCTTCCCTATAGTGACTCATCAACTTGTATCCGAAACAGTGACTGAAAAAACAAACAAACAGGGCTTGAGTTTGTACTTCGGGAATTGTTTGGATGGTTGTTGTTTGCTATTGCTGTGACCTCATGTGAGTGACATGTTGTCCCGCCCTCGTGCCAGTAAACACGTCATCAGAGAAGGTTTTTTGATTAAATGTTACACATTAATTTTTTATTTATGATGTGCATGGATTAATTGTTTATGAGAAATACTCCAATGTTTTTATTAAAAAATAAAAAATATTAATAGTCAACTTTTGATTTCATGGTGACTAAGTATATAGGCCTTGTTTTTTGTTCTGTGTATTTCAAAGCAACATGCGGCACGGTAAATGTGCAAGACTCAAGTCTGATAAATGCCAAAGCGCAGTGCCCTTAACGCACACTAAATCCTCTAAAGGCCCGTTCACATCAAGAAAGATAACTATTAGGGTGTATTCACACCAGGAAAGTCCGATAGTTCACTTGCTTTGGTCCGGACCAAATAAAAATATATATATTTTTTTTTGGTACGGTTCGCTTTCACACTGCTCTTTTTGCAAGTGAACCAAAATTTGTAAACAAAACCATACGTGTGCTAAGGTCGTCCATTCATTGGACAAGGATTCTCAAGTAGGGAAATCAGGAAGTGCAAAAAAGGCTTAACGTAAATTAACCCAGCATCATCCTTGTATTGTAACTATCGTTACATTTATATGAACTGCAAATGCTTTTTTTTTTTTTTTGCGATTAGACTAAAGAGAACGCTCTGTATGTGAATGTCCTGATGCACACACTCATTCATTCATTTCATTCCAATGATGCACACACGACGCGCAGAAAGACGCGCAACAGATGTAATGTAGTAGGCTACAACAGATCACTTTCCTATAACGCAACTCCGACTACGGAAGCCTGTTAACTCAAAGGCGCAGTGCTTTCTTGCAATTGGGTCGGTTCATGTTCACACCGTAAATGAACCGTACCAGAGTTTGTTTGGAACCGTACCGAGACCACCTCTTCAGCTTGGTCTCGGTTCGGTTGTTTGGTCCGCACCCGAGTTCGATTGCTGTATTCACACCTGCCCAAAAGGTCCGCACCAAGGGGGGAAACGAACTAGAGTTCGATTCAATCAAACCAAACAAGGCAGGTGTGAATACACCCTTAGTGTCCACATCAACTCACTATTGTGCTGTTCTGTTTATTCTAATTGCATCCTGAAGTGTTGCTATTTTTAGGCAGGATGGATTCTTTCTGATTGGCAACATTTTTATCGTTCATCAACGATATCGTTTCTCTGTGCCGTTGTCGTTATAATTGTGGCGTGAACTTTGCTATTCATTTATATTTTGAATGATTTTTAGAGCTATATCTTTATCATTATGGTTATCATTATAGTTATCGTCCTTGGTGTGAACGGGCATTTATTAAAGGGGACCTATTATGCCCATTTTACAAGATGTAATATAAATCTTAGGTCCCCCCAGAATGTGTTTGTGAAGTTTCAGCTCAGAATAGCCCA